GGGCTGGGGAGGCAAAGAGCGGGCGCGGCGCCTCCGCGGGGCTCCGAGTAGCGGCGTGTGGGCGACGGTGCGGTGCCGCGTCCCGTCTGCGCTTCCGCCCGTCGCTGCGTAAGGGCCGGATTTACTGTCGGCGGTGAATGTGAGCGGAGGGCGGTTGATGGTGCAACCGGCAGCTTCTCCAAAGCTATTTTCTGTCGACCGATCATTGGGTCAGTTTCTCCCCTTGCTTTCCTGACGGCTCTCCAGCCGAGAGGTTCCCGAAGCGGCTCCCCTCCCCCTGCGCCCTGTGTCCTCAGGGCCCCCATTGGCCGAATGCTTCCTCCGCGGCCAATCAGCAGTCGGGGGCGGGCAGGGGGCGGGCAGAAAGTTGCACCGCCTGCTGGGCTGCCCGGGCTTCCGCTCTCCGCGAAGGAGCCGGTGCGGAGTGTGGGCGATCCTGTTGACCGAGGTTCCCCTCGCTGTGTCCCCTCCAGGCTGCACCTCGTCCTCGATTTCCTTGGGCTACTTCATCTGGATGTCTCAGCCCCCCGACTCTGGGCCGCCCCTGCTGGCGCTCGAGGGGTGCCTGAGTGGCGCAGCCTTCCTGCGGTATGACAGCCTCTCCGGCAAGGCCCGGCCTCGAGGCGCCTGGGCGAAGACGTTGGAGGAGGCGAAGCCTGGGCACTGGGACCAGCAGACCGAATTGCTGCTCAGGATATTGCGATTTGTAGGACATCTGAGAGCAGCCAGGAGCTGCTGGGCCTCCAGTGCAGGTGGGTGCAGAGAGGTGCCTCCTGGACTGCTGCCCCCCAAGCACATGGTCTGGGGCGGAGCGGCTGCAGCAGGTGGGGGTTGTGGGGAACATAGACCTCACCAAAGGAGCTTCCAGTGGTGGTGGTGACAGTGGCAGTGTTTTGGGGGCAATCTGAAGTCCCCAGGGCCCGCTCTGCTCGCCCAGCGTCCCCCAGATGCCAGCACTGAAAACTGGCAGGCATTCCCTCCTCAGGACTCTCTGCTTCAGTTCAGGGCTCTGCCGGCATCTGGGACTTGGAGCGGCTGAAAGATGCTGCCAGGCGGGCGGGAGAGTCTGTGTCTGCTCACTTGCCCAAACAGGAAGTGTGAGCCCCTTCCTAATCGGCATTCACCTTTGCGGGTCGGGCTCCTGGCCCATCAAAAGCTAAGGAATCCCTGGATTTTTGCAGCTCCCTCCGGTGCTGTCGTCTCCTTGGGGCCTTGCAGAACTGAGGGGGCCTCGGGACTCCCACCCCCCAGTTGGGAAGGGAGGTGAAATTGAGGGAGTGGCCCCCCCAGTGCCCTTGCACGTGGGAACGACTCTGTCTGGAATCCCACCTCTAGAGCAACATTCAGGGTTTTGATCGTGACTTACAAGGCACTGCAGGGCCTGTGGCCACGAATTTCAAAGTCTGCTTGGCCCACATAAGGTGCCTGGACCCTGCTATGTCCACTGAGGCCCATTCCTCCGAGTCTCTGCCACGAGTTGCAGTGCCAGAAGGGCCCTGGGGGTGGTGGCCCCCAGTGAGGGCATGTTGCCTGAAGGAAGCCCTCCTGCCTGGCCGTCTTGTGTGGAGCCAGCTGCATGGCCCCGAGGCAGTGAGGCCAT